GATGTATGGATAGATAGATAGATCCATGGATGGATGGATGGATGGATGGATGGATGGATGGATGGATGGATGGATGGATGGATGGATGGATGGATGGATGGATGGATGGATGGATGGAGGGATAGATAGATAGATGGATGGATAGATAGATAGATAGATAGATGGAGAGATAGAGAGATAAAGAGATAAAGAGATAGATAAGGATCGTTCGATGGAGAACTAGGAAGAGATAGACAGACCGAGCGACAGACAGACCGGCAGACAGATAGATAGGTTTCTTGTAAAAAGACAATGTGGGTCCTGACAGCACTGCCCTTGGTTCAGGATATCGGGTTGAGGCCTCCTTAGGCATCAACTCAAAACCCAAACAACGGGCTCTGTTTGGAGGCGTTCCCTCCATGTACAGCTTTCCATAGACATGAAAAGGATTTGCACGCCACAGCCGAAGACAGCCGTTTTGTGAGTGCAGGGCTCGGTTTTCGCGGTCTTGGTAGCCGGGAACGTTCAAAAAATGGACTAGTTGTTCAGCGAATCGAACACATGATCCCGTTGAAGCCACTGTTCTCGGAAGCTACAAGGCAGGGGAATTCAGAGCAACCATTAGCATACCGCGCTTGAAGAATCATGCTTTCAGTGTGCATGGAAAGGGCTTCTGCTTTGTTGCCAGGATCTCAGCTCCTGTGCTGAACAGGAGCCCGGATCGGACACTGGCAGCGCACTCACCCTAAAGCTGAAGCAAAGGCCTCGCTCGCTGCTGCCGTCCTTTTCCGAGCGGAAAGCTTTAGTGTGGTACAACCAGTGCGATGCTAACCCGACTACCATTGCCAGTTTCAGTAACTATACGAGCACTCCGATTGCTGCAATCCTCTCTGGCCTTGCTTGCACTACTTTTCTTTCCCTTGCCGTCATCACGAGTACAGCCGTAAACCCAAGGCTTCAATCCCTAAACCCTGAAACCTAAACCTGTAACCCCTAAACCCCAGATCCTAAAAGTGTTAACCCTAGATCCTAAAACTTTAAACCCAAAGCCCAAAGCCTTCTTGAAACCTGAACTCTGAACCCGAATACCATTGAACCCGGACAGCACTGTCCAGCGACGAAGCCGAGGCACATGCCACTCACTCAATCATCCGGGGCCTGCACTGCTAGCAAGCTAGAAGCCCTGCTGCAGAAATGCGGGAATAGCGGCCAGGGTTTAGGGTTTAGGGTTTAGGGTCTAGGGTTAGCGGCCAGGGTTTAGTTTACCTTCGAAACCACGTAAACTTCAAGCTTGGGCTGCTACACTTGCAGAAAAGGTCTACCTGCAGTAAGCCCCCACAGCTCTGCAGTTGTAATCACGCGCTCGAGGACCATTTTCGGAGCCAACTGCCTCAATCTCGTGTTGATTATTCGCGGGCTTAAGATTAAGAGTGAAGTGTTCAAGGTGCAAGGCACCTTGCCCCGAAAATCTACGCTCGAGCGGGTCTTAAGGCCTGAACCCGGAAAGCAGAAATCGTGACGTGCAGGCTTTCGGCTCGATGCGTCAGCCAAGATCCCTAAACGTTTCAAGTTTTCGGCCAGTGAAGCTACAGAGTTTCGTGTAGAGTTTGGGATCCATGAAGCCGTGGCTGCAAGAACTGTATCAAGAGGTTCTGAAAGGCTCTGAGTGAAAACCTCTAAATGCCAGAACTGACCCTAGTAACCCCCCACAAACCCCGAGCCCCGAGCCCCAAAGCCGAAGAGCAGAACCGGGATCTTTGACAGAAAGCATTCCAAGGAAGACCCGGAGTCGCAAGAACCCGGATCCCGAAACCTCTGGCCCTTCATTTACTTCAGGGTTAAGGGTTTAGGGTTTAAGGTTTTAGGGTGCAGGGTTTAGGTTAGGGCTTAGGGTGCGTCCCCACCCCCAAGCCCAGATCAGGTCCTCAAAGCCCCGTAGCCGGGCCTTCTACACGCCTTCACGCCGGAACCTTGCCAGCGGGGCTTGGGGCTTTCATGATAGAGTGACGTAGAGTGCACGGGGCTTTGGGGATGAGTTTCGGATTTTGCTGACATGCTGCAGTAACCTTACATGTGAAATGGCTCAGGGCTCAAGCTTACATCAGGATCAGGGCTGCTGGCATTGAAGTTGTGGATTGCTCAAAGCTGATCTGAGTGAGGGTCCTGGGGCTCAGACGCAAAGATACGCAAAGCATCCCTGGTGTTAACTTTGCGCCTGAAACAGCGAAACCCGCACAACCCAGACCTCAAACCACAAGAAGCGCTACCTGAAGCTCTTGTTCCCAACGAGACCGACCCAAACCGCTGTTGAGCTAAGGCTCATGACCGGGTTTAAGGTTTAGGGTTTAGGGTTTAGGGACTCATGACAAGCGACCTTTGATGATAGGATTTTGAGCAGTTGGTCGATCTTGCCGTCCATGGAATTCATTCTCGCCTGCATCGCTGTTCGCACTTCGGGCTTAGGGTTTAGTGTCGAGGGGACCCTAAGCTATTACAGACCCGCGAAACCCCTGAAAAATCCGAAAGGCGAATGCCCCAAAGCGCTAACCCTGGCCAATGGAAAAAGGACAACCCAGAACCAAAAGCGTCCCCGATGCAGCGAAAGAAACCAGAAAGCCGCAACAGCATGAGCCCTTTAACCTTCAGAAAACCCAAGATGAATACAAAAAGAACTCAATAGTAGGATCACCATCCGAAGCTGCTCTACTTAAAGACCTCGACTCAGAACCCTGGAAACTGAAGAACTAAGACGCAAGAGTCGAAAGAAGGTCCTTCTGCTCGAGCTGCTCGTCGTGCTGCTTCTGCAACTTAGCATCCAGAAGTTGCATCTTGTCCTCGTCAAAGCTTCAAAAGGTTTCAAGTTCAAGCTAACGTGTGGACTTCATCGAAATCTAGCCACATTTCGGGGTCTTCAATCTCAGCAGTGGGGATTTAGGGAGAGCGGAACCGACGGCGGGAGCGGCGGGGCCAAGGCGGCCGTTGACTTTTCCCACCTCTAAAGGATGTCTAAGGAGTGTTCTCAGATTTCGGATTGAGGTGCAGGCTGCATCATCAACATCGTCTCACAAACCTCAACCTACACATCGTCATCAATATCTCCAGCATCGTCCACAGCATCATTGTACTTCCGGCAAGCTTACACCGAACATCATGCCCAACCCCCGTTTAGCAACAGTCTTGCACAACGGAGCGCTGTGGTGCTAGGCTCTCGAAGCCCTCAACATGCGTCTGAAATGGAGGTACATGCGAAATTCTGGCACAGAACATAGGGAAGAAACCGATGTGGCGGGCATTATAATCTGGGATTTAGGTTTCGGACCCTGGGTTTCAAGCATCAACTACTCCGAGAAACGAGTTGCTAGCAGCAACAACTACGTCGGGCATTTGGAGCGCAGGGTTAGTTCAGAACAGTGAATTCGTCTGTCGATTTGGAGGCATCGCAAGTGAAAGCCCTTAACTGTTGGTAGCATGACGGTTGCTGACCTGGACTGCCACGCAACCCACCACACGACTGCCCTCAGAAACCACGAGGAAGCCCTTCCTCATGCTGCAGCTGGCAGGAATTGCGGGCATGAACGTGCACAGGGAAGTAGCAAAGACCACCACAAACTGTCATAGTAGCCTTATAGAAAACCTATAGAAACCCTTAAGGATCACTTTAGATGTACATTAATAGGGTTTAGGGTTTAGGGTTTATCTTTCGTAATGACACACTTCCAAGAGGTCCTTGAGGTCGCTGCGCATGCTTCGCAGATCGTCCAACGCAGTTTCCTTTCAGGCCAACGGGGAAAAAAGGAACTCGTGAGGATGAACATCTCGAACTTTGTGTTGCCGAAAAATGTAGCAAGTTCTGGCTTGAATTTAGGTCCAGTTCTAGAAAAATTTGGGGGTCCATACACCTCAAAACGTTTCAAACCCCCGTGATATCCTCTCAAGGCCAAATTAAAACTCTAACGGATGAGTCGCCTAAGCTGGTTTGGGCTGAAGGGATTGGACTTTCGAACTTAACCCTAAAGCCTAAACCCAAAACTAAAGCCTAAATCCTAAACCCTAAAGTTCAAACCATAGACACTAAGCCCTAGTTCAACGCCAAATCCTTTAGGGTTTCAAGTGCGGGCGGTGAGCTCGTGGAGCCACGGATTGAAAAGGCTGTAGGGTTAAGGGCTGAATCTCAACTTGCAATGTGTCTGGGTTTGGATTGAGCTGGTACGTAAGTTGCGGATATTTGCCCAAGTTTTGAACTCCTGAAACCCTGAACACTTACCGCCTTAGCCCGGATCACTGCGGCGAGGCTCCGTCCGGACCAGTGCAAAAATCTCGCACTCTTCGGCGAAACGATCTCCAAAAAGGCCGAATAAGCTGAGATTGAGCGTGTAGCGAATGCCTTTCAGGGCTTGTGGGGACTGAAAACTTGGTACACAGCTTTCTTGTATGGTGCTGCTTCCCCAGGGAGCCCAATACAGTATCCGTTCAAAACTGCACAGACACTAAACCCTACAAATACGATACGCACAGTATAAAGCACCCCCAAGCCCTCTTAAGTATTCTCTTACAACAAGCCATCGGGCTTTTTTGAGCCAGTGGCTTACACGGTTTCCGGGTCCCTAGTCCTCACCTTAGACCCTGACCCCTAAAACCCTCCGAACCCCCAAAACCCCTGAGGCCCCAAACCGCGAACCCCCTAGGACCCTGAAACCCCTGAACCCCTAAAACCCTAAAAACCCGTAGGACCCTGTAAAGGAACCCTTTGGCAAAGGCCGTAGGACCCTTTAAAGGAACCCGACGGCCCCTACGGCCTGTGAGTCGGAAACCCACCGCTTGCAGCAGCAGCGTGAGGACCGCGAAAACCAGCAAGCTCAGCAGCGACCCGACGAGCAGCACCAGACACACTACCTGTTCAGATTCAGGGTTTAGGGTTTAGGGTTTAGGGTGCAGGGTTCAGGGTTCAGGGTTCAGGGTGTAGGGTTTGGGTTTTGGGGTTTGGGGGTTTCGGGTTTAGGAGTTAAGGGCTATAACGCGGACTAGCAGAGGCAACGCAACACGTTCACAGCTCTGCCATTGTCGAAGCAAGCTTCTGGAACGCCAAGGGCCAAAACTTTGTACTTCGAGACCGGGCTCCAGAGAGCACGCTGCAAGAATCGCTCGAATATATTCTTCTGGTAATACGCCCCTTGCCTCACAAGAGGCTCCATGATCATTGTGAGAGGGCTCAATGAGATCTCGGCCAGCTTCCCAAGATGCCAGTAAGGGGGCGGGGGCGGGGGCTTCTCGGCCGCGGGGTCCAAGAGCTTTCGACCGAGCCAGGCGCCCACCATCATCCAAGGCCTGCGCTGCACCTTCGGGCATGTCTTTCATTGTGAGAACGATGATAACAAAAGATACCATCCAACAACTATCACCATTCACCGCCATCACCCGTCGCAGTAGTCTGAGCATTCGCTATCTGATTGTCACGACAGAATGAGTTCTCCAAAGGACTGCGCTATATGATGGGTAGCTTGAAGGTAGCCTGGCCTTAGAACACCCTGGCCCGCTTTTTCGCAACTTGTGCAATCTGTGAAACCCTATGGAGCTCTTTTCCCTACTGCCGAAACGTCAAACCCAAACCCGGCACCTTAAGCCCAGCACCTGCCTCCAGCAGCATTCTCGCACGGGCCTGCACAAAGAGCCCTTGTGCGCGATCCTGTTGCATCTCGTAGTTCTGGCTTAGGATGGCAATCAGCCTCACTTGCTGAGTCAGGGGTTTCGGGATTCATTTGGGGCCTAGGATTTAGGTGGGGATATGGGCTTTGTGGTGGGCTCGGATAACAGATGAGCCTTGTCCCCTGCATTTTCGGCAAAAGTGGCTATCCTTGACCATGCAGTTTGGTGGGGAAGGGGCTCGTTGTAACCCGGATTGTTAAAGGCTGAAACTTGCCTACCATGCGCCAGAGTAGCAGGTTCATGAGCAGCACCGTAATGCCAATCCCCGTGCAGAAGAAGCAGAGCTGCAGGTAGATGTAAGGGAGGTGCTCCAAGTCTGTCGGATTAGGGTCCTTCGGTGCCCACTCGCCCTTAGGGTTTAGGGTTTAGGGTTCAGGGTTTAGGGTTTAGGGGTTTAGGGGTTTAGGGTTTAGGGTTTAGGTCCTTCGGTGCCCACTCGCCCTCCACTTGCTCAAACGTAGTGTCTTGGCCCTGGTATTCAAAGAGGTCAAAGTCCCCGAAGATGGCTAATCGGACCGTGTGTGTGAACGCAGAGTACACCGGAAAAACGTCCTCGCCTGGGGCTCACGTGGCGGCGGGTTTTCGGGCTTAGGGTTTGGAATAACCCAAAACCAGCCTCTGTCATGAAGCAACTTACTGCAAACATCTTTAAGCCCATATGACCATACCTTTAAGACCCGAAAGTGGAAGATACCCCTTATGACTTAAAGCCTGTTCCTTACTTCGCCTCGGGGGTTCATGATCACGTAGGCATGCGTCGCGCTGGCCACACAGAGGGAGGTGACGAAGAAGAACGCCCCCGTGTCTCGAACGGCTGACAGAATGGGCAGAAGGTAAGGGCCCAGCCACCGCTCTCCACGAAGGCTGTACCTGCAGCCCAATCGGGGTTTGGGGTTTAGGCTTCCTCAGTGTGAAACCCCATATGTCCCCTTCGAAAATGAAGTCTTTTGGACTGCAGGTACATGAGTCGGAGCCAGTACATCGAACAAAAGCCTGGCAAGAAGATAGGCTCCAACTCTTGATTGACACAGTGGACCATCTGGCCATAGATCGCACCCGAGCCTGGGTTCTTTCGAAGGAAAGTTACCAAATCGAATACGAATAAAGACATATCATAGATTGCACAACATGCTTTTCCTATCATGGGCCCCACACCCCATCCTAAACCCCTAAACCCGAAAGCCCTATACCCCTAAACCCGAAACTCCTAAACCCCCTAACCCCTACACCCTAAACCCTGAACCCTGAACCCTAAACCCTAAACCCTGAACCCTAAACCCTAAACCCTCCCTGAACCCCAAAACCCCTTCCCCTTAACCGGCCCTCCCCTAAACCCTCCTGCC